GAAAACAAAGGAGGGTGCTATATTTGTTCTGGAAAAAGCACCACACCATCACACGTGTCTGATGAGGTCAAGGAAGGGAAGGCCAAGAGAGGCATCCAAGATGATGTCACTGGGAAGGTGACCATGACCTTGGAATATATGCCCTGCTGGACCTCCCACCTGAGGGAATCTCTATGTAATTCTTCCCCTGTGTGTTTTAGATTCCTTCTCTATACAGTCATCACTGCCGGAATCACTGTGTCACCCACAAGGGAGATGGGCAATTTGCAGTTAACAGAGCACTTAATAAATGGGATATTATGATTTCATTTTACAGAAGCACTAATTAGTTTGCTCCAAAGGTGAGGGACCTCAGTCCTTCCCACTCAGTGACAGCGTTGTACCCTAATCTGACTGTTGCCCCCCACACTGCCTTCAGACACTCTTGAGGAAATATGGAAAGCACTCCGCCTGATAATATTTATGGGATCTAAAATCATGTTAATATATTCATATAAATAAATATGCCAGCCTCTGAAAACTTGTCTGTGGAAGGTTGCATCCAATTCCTAAAGACTCTCCATGACAAAAGATGAGCCAAGAGAGCGTCGTAAGGGAGGCATCATGGTTAGTAAAATCCCAAATATATAGTGTAGATATAGAACATCTTTTTGAAACAAGGGTTTTAAACCACCTAACATTTTACCCATAAAACATGGCAGTTTTCAATTGTTTGAATTAATTTACCTATGTTTTTCTATAGAAAATATCAGAATTAATACCTTAATATTTAGTGGATATTCAATAATTGCTGAATGTAGAGATCTGACTTAAGTTGACAATTTTTACCCCTAAGCTGAAATTATAAAATTTCTCCCTTTGCATAGCATCTATAAATTTTGTCTGACTCTAAACATTATAGTCCATTTTAGTTCATTAAAAATAAAACTTTAAGTCTAATGACTCCTAATAAAATGAGAAAATTGTTCTTTTTCCAATTTACTTGGGATGAGTCTAAATATCTTTAAAAGATTAAATTTTATGGTGTAATATTTTATCAGACAATGTATTAGAAGATAGAGATATTTTGATGTTGAAGGTAAATTCACAAGCAGTAGTATTTATGTATTTTCACCTTTAATGGTCCAGGTTATCTAAAGAAGAATGATATAGATGCTGCATAGATAGATAGATAGATAGATAGATAGATAGATAGATGGATAGATAGATAGTAGTTTAAATGAGATTGTCCCCATAAGTCTCAGGCATTTGAATAACTGGTTTCTTTTTGTATATTTTGATAGGATTAGGAGGTATGTCTTTTTTGGAGGAAACCTGTCACTTGGGGCAGGCTTAAGGTTGCAAAGCTTCCACTATCCCTTGTGTGTCCTCTGCCTCTTATCTGTGGTTCAGGATGTGACTTCCCACCTGATATTCCACTGCCATGCTAGTTGGCATGCTCCCTGCCATGATGATGATGGACTCCTCCCATTTCCCTGGAACTGTAACCACCACCACCCCAAATATTTCCTTCTATTAGTATCCTTGGTTGTGCTGTATTATCATAGGAAAGGAAAGTAACCACGACTAGATAAACAGGTGGATAGAAAAATGATAGCAGGATGGCTGGGTGGCTTGATGGCTGAATGGCTGGCTGACTGGATGGATGGATGGATGGATGGATGGATGGATGGATGGATGGATGGATGGATATGATAGATGATAGATAGATAGACAGACAGATAGATAGATAGATAGATAGATAGATAGATAGATAGATAGATGATAGATTGATAGAAATAGAAGAGACTTAAAATCCATAAAGCAGATGCCATAATTTTAAGACCAGAAGGTGAGAGAATTCTTTATTATTTGAAGAACAAACTTTGCTCTGCTGAGACCATCAACTGACTGAACAAACCCAATCATACGGTGGAAGGCAGTCTGCTTCATTCAGTATTCAAATTTAAATGTTCATCTCATCCCCAAAACATCCTCATAGAACGTCCAGCCAAGTTAGACATAGTATTAACCATCACACTTTTTTCAACAGTTTAAAAGTTCTTATGTTAGAAAGTCATATTTTAATGATAACTGGACGCGGATTAACTGGAGGTTAAACTAGGATTGGATAAAGTCATGAGGGTTAGGATGTTATTGGCTTTATAAGAAGAGGGGGAGAGGCAAGCACACTTCCTCATCTCTCCAATTTGTGATATTTACCTTCTTTAAATACAGCAAGAACATCCTCACTAGACACTGCAACATGATCTTAGATTTCCCAAGACCCAGAATCATAAAGCAAATTAACTTCCTGCTATGGTTTGGTGTTCAAATGTCCCCCACAATCTGTGTTGAGTGTTTGGCCTTCAGCTTCTAATGCTATTTTGGAAGGTGCTGGATCCCAACTGGAAGGGGGAGGTTACCAGGAATATGCTTTGAAGCTGATCCCTAGATCCAGAAGCTTCCTTACTCTTTCCTTCTTGTGAAATGAATAACTTCCTTCTCTGAGATGCCACTACCATAATATTCTGGCCCAGAATCAACAGAGTCAAAAACTGTGGCCTGAAAGGCCTGAAACTTTGAGCCAAAATTTAATCTGTCTTCCTTTAAGTTGATCACTCAGACATTTTGGTCATAGCTATACAAAAGCAAAGTGTCTATTCTTTTTGCTTGGTTGTTTTTAATTCACTTTATATCCTATTCTCAGCCCCCTCCCTCCTCTCTTCCAGAACCTACCTTCCCACCCTCTTTGCCCTTGCCCCCCTTACCTTCTCCTCAGAAAAGGGGAGTCTTCCCCATACTACCCAGCTATTAAAATCAAGGAGATCATGAAGTTTTCAGGCAAATGGAGACCTGGAAAAGATCATCCTAAGTGAGGTAACCCAGACCCAGAAAGACACATATAATATGTGCTCACTTATAAGTGGATATTAGCCATATAGTACAGGATAACCTGTACAATATGTCTATTCTTTACGCATTACTTTGTTTTCTTTTAGTGTTTCGGTAACGCATAAAAATATCTTTGGTGAGGAATATTTGTTAAATTTTGGCACAGAATTATCACCAAAGATGGGTTTCTTCACAAAATTGGGAGAAATTTTCTCTCTTTAGATTAGAAAGCAATATAAGCTACTTGTGACCTGACATCAAGGGACTGCCAAGGGGCTGCACTGGGTCCCTGTTCCTAGCACCTTTAAATGATGTTGCGTAGGCATACTTATGGCCTTCTAGGCTTCACCTGCTCTGTCTACTAAACTCTACAACAATGTAACAGATTCTGACTATAATATTTAGAAAGATTAAATGAGATGACTCAAGTTTAACAAATCTGTCACACTAATTCTCAGTAAACATTAATTGCTCCGCATTGATAATCATACAACTGTGAGTCCTGCTTCTAGGACTCCTGAAATCTTAGAAATATGGCACAATTGCTTTAGCTAGAACATTTAATATTGTCCTGCCCTTGGGAACTGTAGCTGTTACTTAAGTACATAGTTTTATTGGTTGTTTATATATAGATCATTTGGCCACAGAGCATTTGCACAGTCAATCTTTTAATGATATACTAATTCAACCAAAGTAGTTTCTGTATTTAGGAGCTCAGTGATAGATGAAACCCAAAAAAGCTCTCACTGTAGGAAGGTCGAGAAGCAGAAACCGAGCAGATTCTAAGCTGTTTGTGGGCGATGTCAAAGATGCAATCAGTAACCCCTCCCTTAATCGGTAGCTTCCCTCTCAGGGTGGGAATGGGGACAAGAGCGGTACCTTCTAGAATTTTTCTTTTTTACTTTGTCCCCAGGAAGAAAGATCTGCACTATAAAACAGAATGCACCCTCTAGGTTGGTCGTGCATAGACCAGTCTTAGTACTAGTACCCCTCAGGTACTGCCCACTGTTCTGTTGGTTGCAGGGTCTCTCAGCCTGGAACTCACCAAGCAGGCAATGCTGGCTGCTTAGGGAGCCCCAGAACTCACCTGATCCACCTACCTCTCTCCATGTGGGCTCTGAGAATCAGATTGGAACTTCTTGCTGGGGCGACAGGTCTACACCCTGAGCTGTATCTCTCCAGCCCTCTGAAACGCTTAACACTTAGGATTGGTTCATATCACCCCTACTTAACCCATAGACTGAAAACTATAATAATACTATGAGGACCAAAGAAATCATAACATTTTCTAAACAGTCTGTGAACCAGGCTTCCTCTGACACCTCCGCACAGCCCATCCTCTGAAAATTGTCTTTGGAGTATTCTGAATCCTCAGGGTCAGTGAAGATTAATATCCATCTCCTCCCTGATCCTATTTGCCTCTCTTTTTCTGCTCCCATTATGGAGAGCTTCTTCCAGAACCCAGAGTGTACGCAAAATAAGTCCCTTCAACTTCCTGACAAAGTTTAGATGCACCCCCCAACCCCATCCAACACTCTCACGCCGGTTTCTCCCCTGCCCTCTGTTCTTTCTCTGGGTTAGCACTTTCTAACTCCCCCAGCCAATAAAGGAATTAAACATTTAAATGCGCTTTAAAAACTGCATTTAAAGAATTAACCCATTTTGCCCCTCGCTGGTCTAAACCACGGGGTGTCAACCGGACTTTAATTGCTTTCTTCTGGTGGGGTTCCAGACAGCTCCTCAGAAGGAAGGAGCGCACATTTCTGGCACCAATTGGCTAATTCAATTTACTTCAACAGCATTAGCCTCTGTCAGAATATTCATGAGCAGGGGAGCCAGGACCACGGAACAGGCAGGCGGCAGCCACTCAGGCTAGGGAAAGCGCGAGGGAGGGGAAGAAGCGGACCTCTCGCCGCGCTTAGGGGACGGTGACCACGAGGACCAGGCAGCTTTTCTCACCCTCCCGGCAGAGAGCTGGGGGCCGCGGGCATCGGCGGGTTTGCCGCGCTTGTCATCAGCTCTCAACTCCCAGTGATCGCGCGGAGACTTTGGAAACATCCGAAGGCAGCAGAGCTGTGACACTTTTGACTCGCGGGGGGGAAGGGGGGTGGGGCGGGGGCAGAGAGGCGAGCTGGGGCCAAGGGACTCAGCAGTACACCCGTTCGTCCAATGAGGAAGGCAGAGATGTGAGCTGGACAGCCGCCACCGAGGAGTCTCAACGCCTCCGGAGAGTCGCCGGCTATTCCAGGTAAAGCTGAGGACTTGGGTCAGTCCCTGCGTCTGTCCCCAGGCACTGGAGGCCACTCTAGAAAAGCCAGGAGCACTACGCTCGGTCCAGCTACGCGCCGCACCTTCCCCTCAACTCTCCGCCGCCTAGGGGGTCCTCCCTGACAACCTGGGTTTCACTTCCTCGGACTTTTCCAGCGGGGGTGGGGAGTGGTAAGGGAGCAGGAAGGGATATCCTCGGCTGTGGGACTGGTCTGGGTGCAGGAAAGCTGCCCGTGCAGCGGGACGGCCGGTCAGGTGGAGGGTGCTACGCACTGGGTGCCGCGGATGTGCTCGCCTGGTGATGGTGACACGGGAGCGCGGGGTGTCAGGGCGCTTGACCCCGGCCCTTCGCTTCCCTCGCGGTCAGCGGCATCTTCATACGGCCAAGGGAGAGGGTGCCCAAGTCTCCAAAGAGGTAGCTGTGCTCGGAGCAGAGGCTCCTAGACTGAGGCTTTGGGGAGGTACCCGCCGACCGATCCTGGCGCCCCCGCGCCAGAGCTTGGCGGTGGGAGGAGAATGTGGTGGTGACTCTAGTCCTTGCCACCTGCCGGACATCACCAACTCCCCGGATTTCCTGTCTCCGAGTCCTGGCAGTCCCTGGGCAAGCTCTGAATTGCGCTCCGGGTGGTTTGAGCTCTGCTTGCCCTGGTGGTGATGTTTGGATAGAGCCGGGAGGTGAGGGGGCGAGAAGAGGGGGTCAGATAAGGTGAAACGTTCAGATCTGCGAAGAGAACGCCCCCGCGAAGGCCCAAACTGTCCTTAGCAATAAGACAGACTGTGATCTAACCTCCAAGGTGTGGTAGCTGGAATCTGGAGGGCAGATTTGAGGCAAAGCCGGAGCCCTTTAGTTATTTCCTAGCTGAAGTATGGAGGAAGTGGGGCTGGCAACAGTGGCGCGGAGAACTGCAGTTAAGCGCTGGGTAGATTCGGAGTTTGCTGTAGAATCGCAACGATTATTACTAAGGCTGTGTTTACAGGCTTGGACATCAGGAAGGATTAGGGGGAGGATTGACTGCTGTAATAGCATGGGAATTGAGTCTGTAGCCACTGTCCCCCACATAATGTATGCAGACTTCCCCTCTGGTAGTCTCTGGTGTATCTACATCAAAGGAAACAAATGCCCCAGAATGGAATGGTGGTCAGGGACCCAGCCATGGACTGTATCTAGCTAAGAAGAGCACAAACAGCAGGAAGTCATAACTGTAATGCAAGGCACCCAGGCTTGTAGCTGTTCAACTGTATACCTATCCACTCACCTTCCTGTCTGTTATCAAGGTGGAGACAGGACCATCCTGGACTCCACACTTGACCTAGCTTTCCCTTCTGCATTTCTACAGCCTAGGCTGGTCATTTGCTTACAGTTGCAGAACCCCGGAGCCTTTACAGTATGCTCCCTAGGATGTGCGACCTTCCCTGTAGACACAGGAGGAAGCCTCAAGGACACCTGAGGTTGGTTGCTGCCCTCTTGACTTAGCCCTTGACCAGATCTGTTCCAGGGTGCAGGCTTGGCCCTGCTGATGAAGCAAAAAAAAAAAAAAAAAAAAAAAAAAAAAAACGGCCGAAGTATGGGAGGGAGAACAGGCTGGCAGTTACTGAGTGCAGGGATGAGGTCAAGCTTCTGTGCTGGCCACATCCTTTCCTGCCAGAGACGAAAGAAAGACAAATGAAGTACAAGTGGGACATACATAAACTGGAATCGAGCTCTTACAGTCTATGGGGCTGCGGCCACTGACTTTGGTGTGACCTTTCCTGTGCTTCTGATTTCCCGTTTGCCAGTGCCCTGAGCCTTTCTGATGGGACTGTTCTCATGAGATGGTCTAATTTTGTATTTAAAAAAAAAAAGGCTTCTATAAACACGCTGAGAAAGGACAGTCTATAAAACACGCAATGTTAATGTTCTGTGAAAAGTTTGCCACTGTGCAGGTTAAGGAGGTACATTTTTAGCATGTGTGCCATGTGGCAGTGTGACATTAAAATGGAAGAGCAAAGTACAATCATAAAAATGAGTTAGCATTCTTGACACTCTGGTGCATACTTGTAGAAAAATTATCTTTAATTTGGGGAGAGTTGCTGGGAAATTTAAGCAACATTTGTAATACTGGACTACCCCCCCCCCTTCTCCTCCTCAGTGAAATTTTATGACCCAGTTCTCAGCAGAGCAGTAGTGGGACTGTTGTAAGTGCTGGAGGTTGAGAAGAGAGACTGGATTCTATTGGGAGAATGTCAGTTAGAGTTCCAAGACTGGGGCAGAAGGCAGAGATGTTACGTATGGTCTTTGCAAAACAGTTAGTTGTTCCAGAATGGTTCCTGGGATCACCATAGGGTTAGGGACCCAGCATCGGTTGTCCAGGGTTCTCTGATTCACTCCATCAGGAGACTTCAGAAGATGGTGTGAGAAGTCTAAGCAAGATCCTTTTGCCATCTCTGTTAGGAGACTTTAAACCAGGGTTTCTCAACCTGTGTGTTGCAAGTCCCTTGGGGGGGGGGGGTCACATGACCTTTCATTTGGGTCTCCTAAGACCATCAGAAATCATGGGATATTTACATTATAATTCATAACAATAGCAAAATTACAGTTATAAAATATCGACAAAAATAAGTTTATGGTTGGGGTCACCAAAAATGAAGAGCTGTGTTAAAGGGTCGTGGCGTGAGGAAGGTTGAGAACCACTGCTCTAAGTGAGAGCTTAAGTACCTGCTCCTTACCTTCTTCCTGGAAGAACTTCTTTTTTTCCTTCCAGACTGGAACAGTGAAGTACTTACATCCCCAAGGATGCAGCAGTCTGCTTTCAGACCCTGGTGTGATTCTCAATTTTCCTCCACTTTCAGGAGCTTCTCAGTGTACTGTTGTTGATAAATTTAAATAAATAGCTGGACCTCATCAAGAGAGCCACTGAGAAGCACTTATGTCTTCCCTTGGTGAAAAACTTAAGAAAGGCTTTTGAGGAAAAAAAAAAAAAAAAAAGGAAATTTAGAAAAAAATTTTAAAAGGATTTCTTTTTTTTTTTTTATTTCTCTCTTCCCATCTACCCATCCACCAATTCTTGCGTTTTCCTCTCATTATAGTGAATACTGTTTGCTTAAGCATGTTGTTTACTTACTCCTGCAGTTTTGGACTTTAAATGTGGTTTGTCTAGTAGCAGTCTATGGAAGAAGGAAAAAACTGTAAAAAGACACGGAAGGAAGAGCTGCCGTGGTGAGGACATAAATCAGACAGAATATATGGGAGTGGGTGAGAATAGATCTTTTCACCCTTAAAAAAAAAAAGTCCACTTTGGAAGAAAAAGAAGTCTGATTATTGGGATCCCAGCCTGAAACTCAGGCAGCTGATGCTGAGAGGAGCCAAAGGGCGGTTCTTCTTAGTTTAGAGACAGCAAGACAGCCCTCTGCCAAAGACGGCTGTAAACACTGGATAAAGATTTCATTGTGAGGTGGTGTGACTGGAATAATTACAGCTGACTGTTCATTCTGACCTGCACTGCTGCAATCAGGGCTGCAAAACAACGACTGGGGACATAAGAAAGTGGCATTCGCCACTTTCATTTGCTCTTCTTTTATTTCTTGGTGGCACTTGGGTGGGAAAAGTGTCTCGGAAGAGTAGAGAGCTGAGATAGATATCACTGTTGTGTGTTGACTGGGGACAAGATTTTTCATCTTTTAAAACCACTATATGAAGCTATAGTAAGAGTTATTGTGTTCAATACCTCCAGTACTTAATTAGTAAAAATTAGGCTTCACTTTCATTGTCAGCACAATCAAAATATGTACAAATGTTACCAGGCTCTTGTTTTTTTCCAACACTTTTTTCATAGACATTTAAAGTGCAAGGAGAACATTTTCCATTCTTGATATTTATGCTTTTTCTTCTTTGAAATAAATTGTACATAATGACTAATCCTTCACGTTGCCTCAAAGATACACCTTTCCCTCTATTTTCCTCTGCAACTTAGAGACAAAAGAATATGTGTTTTGAATGACCAAGGCAATTTAAGCAATTGAGCATCTGTAGTTATTAGAGGCAATAGACTGTGACATAGTGTTATTTACTAAAACATGAGACTATGATCAGTTCCTTATGAGAAGACAGACATTGGGACCACAGATGTCAGGAGACCCATGGTGTTCAAGTCAGGCAAGTAAAGATATGTGCATTCATGAGATTGCAACCTTCTGGAATCCTAATATTGGCATAGAATATGGATCGAAGTTGTTTCTGTTTGAATTTAAAATGAACTATCTTTAAGTGTCAGTGTTAAATATAATTGTTCTGGGAATAAAAAGCACTGTTATAGAAAAAGCATAATGAAGTAAGATAAGGTCATGCAGTCTTGTGGAGAGAAATATTCAATTTCTCTTAGATATTCATCTTGTCTCTTTATAAGAAGAATGATAGTATCTTTACTAACCTTTAGATTTCTATCCACCATGAATCAAAAGGTGCCACAAAAGCAGAACACATGCTGGATGTTACAAAATGTAAATTGTCCAAAATATGGAACTATCTAGCTCTCAGCAGAAAAAAGAATCTATTTCACAAAATGCACTTTCTACAGCAATTAAAAATAGAAAGTCACATTGCCACATTAAGTTATGGCAACAACCCATTTTAAAGAGAAATTTAGTCTTTTCACATTTAATTGCTATTCATGGCTTGCTAAGTAGTTTTCCAGAATAATCCACCCATCTCTTGCTAACTGAGATGGTCTACTTAAGAACATTCCTAATTACACATGGACTGACAATTTTGGAACCCCGAGAACACTCTACTTAAAGCATTACCGAAGTACAACACAATATGAAAAAAGGCGCAACTCACTTCAAAGGCTATCTTAATGTTTAAGAGATCCTAAACCAGAGAACATTTGGTTTGGAGGTATATTAAGGCACAAAAAGAGAAAAGAAGCTACAAATCTTGACTGCTTTTTAAAACAAATAAAGGCCTCCCCCCGCCCCCCAAGGGAGGAGCAGTCCTGTTAGGCC